GGTGGGAGGTTTGCTCTCCCCAGGGCAGGCCAGGATAGAACTTTCTGAGCTGGTGATGGGCTTACGGGAGAACGTGGTACAGATGGTGAGGTTAGGAAGGGCCAAGTCTGGCTTGCATCCCCCAGGACCTCCTTAAAGGGACACAAGGGCTATTGTCTGTTTATGTGGAGGGACTGCATATGATATTTTGGACATTTTTCTTTTGTTTCTAATAATATTTATACATCGTTGTTCCAAAGCCATCCCAATTTTTACTAATCAACCGTCATGCCTAAAATCACACATAGGTTTGAGTATACAATATTCTCCCCCGATGAATCAAAAATCATATTAGTTGAGATTTCACTATGTGGCAGAGGCTTTGCTTGGTATTTTCGTACCTGTTGTATCATTTTTTCTTCACAGTAATCCTGCAGGTAGATATTTTTAGTTCCACGTCACAGGTGAGGGAATGTGGCTCACAGATTTTAATTACAGGTAGCTAGTAAGTGTCTTTTCATTACATATCTAATCTGCCTGCCCCTTTAATGGTCCTTGCAGGCTCTTTCCAGGTTATTTCGGCATTCGGTTTCCTCTGCATCGCACATTACACGTCTAGACTGCTGTGCTTATATTTCATGGTCTCTTGTAATAAACCCTTCTGAATGTGGGCTTGAACACTAATTTGTTTGTAGTTATTATTTCCCAAAAGGAGAAAAATGTCCACTTATGTCTCTTTTTTTTTATCTTTCCAGACTCTGAGAGGCTGATTCTCTGTGGCCCTTTTGGGGGCAGATGTAACCGAGAAATCAATACAGCTGTGAGATTAATCCATGGCAACCATAATGTCACTGCATCCTCAAGCCCATGATGTTGACAGGAATGTCAGAGCTAGGAGGAGGGAGGTACTTAAAAGAAGGGACGGGAGCCTCTGAAATGAAGGGGAGAATTAAAACCCCATGGTGCCTCACTTAGTGAAGGAGAATTGCAGGTGGCTGCCTCCGGCATAATTAGGTCTTTCTTCAGAGAATGCAGTGGCTTGAGTCAGGCATGGCAGGGGGGTCTGCAACATTCTGGCGTCTGCGGCCCCTTCAGGAAGATGAAATCAGCAGCAGGGTACAGCAGCTTGAGCTGGAATCTCCCTCCTTTAGATGCCAGGTTCTCAGCACCTCCAGAGGTGGGGATTCTGGTGGGCAGATGTCATGAAATTTCCTTCTTCCAGTGGGTTTGACCTTTTATCATCATCATCATCATTAATATTTCCTGAAACAGGGAGGGAAAGCATCCTTTATAAGCACAGAGCTTGCTTCATGGAAAGCACTTGAGGTATACTTGAAAGGTGACTGTTGGTCCAGTCTACAGAGCACTTCAGTTAGTTGGCAACTATGTATGGCACTGAGTGTCATCTGGATGTCAGGTGCTGCTCTAGGTGTGAGGGAGGGAGCAGGGGTGGGAGTTCTGCAATAAACAAAATGTACAAGACCCTTGCCTTCAGGGAGCTCATTTTCCAGTGGAGAGTAGGAATTGAGCTAAGCTATTAGCTTGAATTTCCTTTCTCCTACAGAGGTGGCCAGCTGCCCCCCACCCCTAAATGTTTTCTCCCTTTCTTTTGTAGAGCAGTGGTTCCCAACAGGTGACAATTTGGCCCCCAGAAGATATTTGGCAATGTCTTCAAACCAGCCCTATGGAATGGGTATAATTATTACCCTTGGTTTTTAGATTAAGGAACAAATGCTCAAGATGTTAGCATGGCTGTAACTAAAAATTGCAGGGTTGGCTGCCTGCTGCAACAAAAGCTATAGTCGTGAGACAGATGCTGGTGCAAAAGGAAAGAGGCTTATTCAGGTGCTGTGTGACCTGGGAGAATGGTGGACTCCCGTCTCAGAGATCATCTCCCCTTCCTGCTCAAGCCCGTGGTTCTTATAGGGATAGGGAAGGGAGGTTTTTTTTCCTATCTAATTATCTCTCTTTCGACATGCTTGGTCCCTGTCCATTCATCATTCTAGCTTTTGCCAGCTTAGTGTAAGGACCTTCCCCTGAACCAGCTTGGCCAGTGGGGGAGACTCCGGAGGTGTTCCAAATGACTGTCTATGGTAACATGGCAAGTAACTACCATATGGCAGTCTTTTCCAATATTATTGGTTAATAATATTATATGAGTAATATAATATTAATACTGGTTAATAATATTAACATTGGTCAATAAACTTACTGAGGTAATATTGGTTAGTAATATTATATGAATAATAATATATGAATTTCAGGTGCACAACATTATAATTCAGTTATCTGTACACTTTATTGCATTCTCACCACCAAAGGTCTAGTTTCCTTCCGTTACTATTTTGACCCCCTTTACCCAATTCACACTTTGACCACCACCTTCCCCTTCGCTCACCACCATTCTGTTGTCTGAATCTATGAGTTTGTTTTATTTTGTATTGTTGGTTCATCTGTTACTTTTATGATTTTTGTTTCACATGTGAGTGAAATCTTATGGTTTTTGTCTTTTCCATCTGACGTATTTCACCTGTAGTGATACCCTCAAGATCCAATCATGTTGTCAGATGGCAGCATTCCATCTTCTCATGGCTGAGTAATACTCCATCGTATCCATGTCCCACATCTTGACCCATTCATCCGTCTGCGGTCATGTGGCAGGTTTTTTAAAAAATTTTATTTTATTTATTTATTGTTGATACTATTACAGATGTCCCCATTCCCCCTCCCCCTTTACCCACCTCCAGCCAGCTCCTGCCCTCCCTCCCTCTGGTCATGACCACACTGTTATCTGTGTCCATGGGCCATGCATATATGTTCTTTGGCTAATCTCTTCACCTTCTTTCATCCAGTCCTAATTTTATGCCAGATTGCAGTCTCAAGCACTGGCTCACATTCCTGTCTCCATCCTTACTATCTCTTCACTTGGGCGTCACCATCTCCATTCGGGGTCACTGTAACTATTTCCTCTGCTTCCGTTTCGAACCCTGTAGGTAGAATCACTTTTAAAAAACCCAGTCTGAACTTGCTTCTTTCCTGCTCGCTTTCCTTTTGTGATCCCCCCCTTCAGGATAAAGCACGAGCGGTCCCTCTGTGACCTACCGCAGCCTCCGCTACTGCTTTCTTCATCCCTCGTCCTTTGGCCGCACACCCTGGGCTGCGGCTGCCCTGCAAAAGGAAAGGGTTATTTTTCCAAAATCATTCTTGCTCTGCAGAGGGAATCACAGTAAAAGCAACAAGCTTCCCCTTGTATTTTCAAGAGTTCAAGCAAGGATTGTTTGACCATCTCCTGGGAACACCGTTGAAAGGATTCTTATATTGGGTGGGAGGTTCGTTCCAACCAGACAGTGCTACGGTTCTTCCAAACACAGCTAATTGCATAATGTAAAGTGAGCCCAGTTTTTCAACTTTGTTAAGCTCTCAAATTCTATTTGTTCTACTAAAGACCATATTGACTTTAGAGAGTAATTTGGCAGCATTACATGATAGCAACTTTACTCCTAATTATACTCCCTAGAGAATGCTCATGTGCAAAGGAGAAATGTAGTATTTGTAATAGCACAAAACTGCTGAGCTAAATGTCCACCCACAGGAGACTGGACAAAATAAACGTATACAAAGAGTATTATGTGAGAGTGAAAATAAATGAACTAGAGCTACATGCGATAAATATAGATGAATCTCAAAAACGTAATGTTCTCCATAAAAAGCAGTCTGAAGGATAGGTATAATATGATGTCATAAAAATGTTATGCATTATGCCAGTCAGGGTGCCAGTAGTCAGCAGAAGGTACAGTGGGGATTCTGAAGGAAGGGAAGGGGCCATTTACAGTGGTGGCAAGTGTGGTAGATTGTTCCATGGCCACAGAATCCTCCCATCCCGCTATGTAGTGCCCCTTTGTTGCTTTTCCATCCTGAGCTGGAACCTGTTTTTCCATCCCTTTTCATCTAGGCTGGCTTTGTGACTTGTTCTGACCAATAGATGTGGCAAAGGTGACTCAGAGTGAGTTTTAGAGCCTTGTAGTTTCTGCCTTTGTTATTGGAATACTTCTGACATGTGAAGAAGCCTGCACTAGCCTCCTAGAGGCCTCATGGAGAGAAAGACTCAGCCACCAGCCAACACCCACCACTAGCTATGTGAGTGAGGCCATCTGGGACCAGCGGCCCCCAGCTGACCACCAGTTGGCTACAAATGTATGAATGAGTCCAGCCAGTACCACTTTGAGCAGAAAAGCTTCCTAGCTGAACCCAGTTCAAATTACCCACCCATAGGAAGCACCACCTTCCTCATCCAAAAAATGGGAAGAGGAAGGGTGCCTCGCCTCCTGCGTGTTGTAAGGACCAAATAAGATAAAGCAGGTAAATCCCTTTAGCTCCAGGCCTGGCACATGGTAAGCACGCGATAGATGTTAACTGTTGGTATTTTGTGGGAGCCACCCAAGAGACTGGTTTTTCAGAATAATGTGACTGGTTTCCTCTTGGAATGTGCCCACTGACAGTGCAGGGGATGACAGGTGGCCAGGCACCCTCGGGATTTCAGGAGATGCTCTGAGATTGGGGTGGGGGCTTAGAACCCTGGGGGAGGGGTCAGGAAGGCACCCTTCTGGGGCCTCTTCTCCATGCTCCATGGAGACAGCACGGACTTGGGAATCAAACCTGAACTGGATACCTGGTGCTGCAGTGTAGCAGCTGCGTGACCCATGGCAAGTCTTTGAGCCTCAGTTTCCCATCAGCTAGAGATGATCTCACAGGATTGTTTGAAGATCCTGTAATCTGTTACATACAAACCAGGGCCCTGATTCAGATGCCTTCAGAGGCCAGGCATATGGGCCTGGTGAAGACAGTGGGCAGAAAGGACCATGGAGATGTGTGCATGTGCCCTGCATAAAAGCTTTCAAATTAAAAAAAGTAATTGTCTTTAACATTGTGTTGCAAAACAAAATAATT